CAACCATGGAAAATGGGACATGCACATGATAGCAGATTACTGCTGGAGTTGAAAAAGGGAATGTTTAAAAAAACATTTAAGAATGTCGCGGAAAAGAAGCTTTCGAAGTGTTGAGTGTCTATTTGATTTCTTCAATATTTTTTTTTTGTTTATAAGTACGACATAATATTGCATTTTGTATAACTAAAATAAAAATTTCGTATCTACTTTTGTTTTCTACATTTACGAATTTGAGTTAAAATAATGTAACTTATATTTCTCTAAAATTGTATATCTTAAAAATTTGAGCTCCTAGGTCAAAATGAATACGTTATTTGAATTCAGGACATCAAATTGATATAGAATCAGCTCAAAAAACCTCGACACCAAAACAGCTGTTCCCCTGTGATATTAATTACAAAATGTATCTTTGAAATCTATACATCATTATAGAAATTTTGAATGCGTTATCAAGTGCAATGTTTTCTTCTCATCTAGATTTATCTCAAGGTTATATCAGATAGAACTAGAAAAAATAAGCAGAAAATGTACGGTCTTTGCTACAGATCGAGGTCAGTATCAAATGACTCGACTTCCTATGGCAGTGGTCGCCAACCTGTCGATCGCGAGCTACCGGTAGCTCGCAGAGGCAATTCTCTCACAACGATTTTAATTTAAAAAATACAAACACTGCAAAAATCAGAGAAGCTTCCGAAAATTCCACAAAAAAATCTAATTGTCATAATATTAAACATAAACAGCGGTAACGTTGCGGTGAACGATCTGTCGCTGACGCCATTAAGCTAGAATCGGCTAGAACCGATCAGCCGGACCAGCGCGTTAGTGTTCGAGAACAATCAGGAATGCTTTGTACGGGATAAATACGCACGGCGTGGCGACATTGCGATTAGTTTAAAACTGAACGCGTAACCAACGTCCAGCGGTTGGGTGGTTAGTAGAGAACAACAAAAAATAATATTATGGCAAGCAGTTGTAAGAAGGTAAAGACATACCACTTTCATTCGGAATGGAAAGAACAATACTTTATTACAGAAGTTAAAGATAAAAATGTGTGTTTGTTATGTAATACTTCGGTCTCCGTTGCTAAAAAAGGAATAAATTAAGAGACATCATAAAACTGTACATTCTAATTTTGAAAAATCATTCCCACTACATTCTGCCGCCAGAAAAAAGAAACTGAAACAGTTAAAAAAGCAGTTAATTGGACAACAATCAATATTTTTAAGAACAGTCGACAAAAATAAAGCTGCAACTGAAGCATCGTACCGTGTGTCCTAGATAATTGCACAAAAAAAGAAACCTTATGAAGACGGGGAAATGATAAAACAGGCGTTTTTAGAAGCTGCTGATTCGTTATTTGCCAATTTTAGAAATAAAGACGAGATAATTTCAGCTATAAAATCTATGCAACTTTCTGCTAATACAGTGATGAGACGTGTAGAAGTAATGAGCAATGATATTTTTTTACAGTTAACAACTGACTTAGATAACTGTGTTTATTTTTCACTTCAATTGGATGAATCAACAGATGTCGTTGACACTGCCCAGATGGCCGTGTTCGTCAGGATGGTTTTTAGTGATTTTACGATTAAAGAAGAAGATTGAAGTTTATTCTACTGAAAGGACACACTACTGGACAGGAGTTGTTTTCTCATTTAAAAAATATTATTTCTTTCGAGAAAATTCCAATATCGAAAATGGTAGGCTTGACAACCGATGGCGTTCCAGCTATGGTGGGTTGTGATAAGGGTCTGGTGGCGTTATGTCGTAAAGATAAAACTATTCCGCAATTTCTCTGTTACCACTGCATTATCCATCAGCAAGCATTATGTGGAAATTTGCTGAAACTAAACAACGTTATGAAACTGGTGGTAAAAATTGTGAACAAGACTAGAGCTCAAGCGTTACAAAGAAGATTATTCAAAACCTTAGCCGATGAAGTTGACTGTCAATACGGGGACCTACTCCTTCACTCTGAAGTCCGATGGTTAAGTAGAGGACGGGTGCTGAAACGTTTTAATGATGTCTTATCTGGCATAGTTCAATTTTTCAAACAACGCGATGAACCGACTGCGGAACTAGAAAATTCAATCTGGCTTAGAGATTTTGGTTTTCTCGTGGACATTACAGAGAAATTAAACGAACTTAATTTTCAGCTTCAGGGGAGAGACAAAGAACTAGCGGAAATGATTTCTGTTATAAAAGTATTTATCAAAAAGCTGGAGTTTTGGGTACAAAACCTAATTAACAGCGTTGCCAAGCATTTTCCTATTCTTTCAAAAAAAAAATCTCAATATCCATTAGAACCCTATGACAGCAAATATCATGTAGAAATAGTTTCTACCCTGAAGAATAACTTCAAAAATCGTTTTAAGGATTTCAACGAAATGGCTTTAGTAGCGCAGTTTGTTGTTTCACCCTTTATGGAAATTGATATCCAACAGTTTGCAACTTGTGTTATGCAGAACTTTGGCGAAGACATCGCTGCAACAGAAATGGAAGTAATTAAGTTTTAAAATGATTTAGCCTTAAAATCGTTAGTCTCAAGTACCAAATGTATCTGGCCTATTGTAAGTAAAGACAAATATTCAGTTCTGTGCCGTGTTGCCTTGAAAGTGAAAGCATTATTCAGTTCAACCTATTTGTGTGAATCTTCTTTTTCCAAGATGAAGTTTATTAAGAACAAATATCGCAATCGACTTACAGATGAATATTTGGATAATTGTATTCTAATGGCTGTATCAAATTATACTGCAAACATTAAAAAAATTATCGATGAGTCTGAGTGTCAGCCTTCTCATTGAACGTGCTTTTTTATTTTTTAATGTTTATGTTCATGATAGTGCGTTACTTTTTTGTTGTTATTATTAACTATTTTTAAATCTTACGTGACATGCCGTTATGGCTGGATAAAAGTTTGTGTTTATTTTTCAAACACTTTCGTTTAGTAGGTAGGAATGTAGCTATGAACAAGTACGTACTAGTAATATTAGTTATTAGTTTATTATTAGTAGCTATGTATTATGTATTACCAGTTAAATTGTAAAATAAATACATATAATGACAAATTAACTGTGGATTATTTCATTTACGTTGCGTTACGTGGCTTCCGTGTGAGTAGCTCGCTGTTTATTCCAAAATTAACAAAGTAGCTCAACACATTGAGAGGTTGGCGACCACTGTCCTATGTGTTCGAAAACAACCCTGTTGCATTTTCACGGGTAATGACACTTGTAATGTCCGGACTACTTAAGTTAAGTCACAAACCAAGTATTACAAATTTGGGGTTAATAATGTCAAGTCATATCAAAGTCAAAATTTTAGACAAAGTAAAAAATCTTACACAAAATCGAAATAAAGTGACCAAACGATTTTTGCAAAGACTGCTTTTTACTTTCCTATCTGTATACAGATATAAGGAAAGTATAGGAATCATGATTGTTTTCGACGGATTTTTACGTTTTGAGGTCCCCTGAATCCGTTTTGACTATTTTCGCGATGATGTCTGTGTGTGTGTGTGTGTGTATGTGTGTGTGTGTGTGTGTGTGTGTGTGTGTGTGTGTGTGTGTGTGTGTGTGTGTGTGTGTGTGTGTGTGTGTGTGTGTGTGTGTGTGTGTGTGTGTGTGTGTGTGTGTGTGTGTGTGTGTGTGTCTCTGTGTGTGTGTGTGTGTGTGTGTGTGTGTGTGTGTCTGTATAACGCATAACTCATGAACCGATACATAGAAAAACACCAAATTTTAAACTTAAGCTTTGTTTCAACGTCCAATGAGCTGATTAGATTTTGGGCAGAGTCGGAACATCTGGGGGGGTACTTTATAGGTGGTCATTTTTATATTTTATGGAATATATCTGTTATTTACGTTTGGAGAAGAAAATTCTTTAAATAAAAGTTACTTCTAATATAATTATCTATAATTTTTGTTTTATGCAAAATTTTCCTAAAATGGTCCGTATTCGAGAAATTTGACAAAATGTAAAAAAAATAATTTTTTATAAAAATTGTTCAAATAAAAGTTGTTTGTAATATAATTCTCTATAATTTTTATTCTATACATAATTTCTCTAAAATGGACCGTATTCGAGATATTTGAGAAAATGTGTAAATTTCGAATTTTGAAGAAAACTCAAAAACGGATAAAGAAAAAAACATTAAATTTTAAACTTAAGGATTATTTCGGCCTGACGTAAAATGATTAGATTTTGGACAAAGTCGGAACATCTGGGGGGGTACTTTATGGGAGGCCGTTTTTATATTTTATAGAATATATCTGTTATTAATGTTTGGAGAAAAAAATTGTTTAAATAAAAGTTACTTCTAATATTATTATCTATAATTTTTGTTTTATGTAAAAATTTCCTGAAATGGTCCGTATTCGAGAAATTTGACAAAATGTGCAAAATTCTGATTTTTATGAAAGTTTTTGAAATAAAAGTTGTTTGCGATATCGATCTCTACAATTTTTGTTTATACATAATTTTTCTAAAATGGACCGTAATGAAAAAATTGTAGGAAATTTAAATTTTTCAGTATTTTCGTTTTCCATGAATATCTATAGAAAAATGTTTCAAGGTAGATGTATGTGGACAATGTATATATTTAGTTTATCCTCTAAACATTTATAGAGATGCTGCAATAGGTTGTACAAAATAACCGGAAAAGCCTATAATATCTAGATAGGAAAGTCATGTGTTGGACACATCAGATTTTTAGAATAAACGTGAAAATAAATAAAAAACAGTATCGCCATCTGCATAACTGTGGGAGACGCTCTTTTAGGTTTTAAATTTTTTTCTTAATTATTGGAAAAATTTATATTATAAATTAATCAAAATATATGAAACAAGAGTACCATAATACCATACTGTATATTAGCCATCTAATAATTCTAGTACAAAAAGATGACTAAAATAAAAAAGTAGTTTATAATTATTATATAATTTTTTATTACTCATTACACATTACTTATATATTTTTATCACTTTTTCTTTTTAGTTCTTACATTATAAATATTATTTTCTTCAATAGCGTTTTTTATGATTTTTTCATATTTTCTAAAACCATTTATTAGGTTATGTTCAATTCTTGCCGCACCTCCTACAGAATGTCTTTTTCCCACATCTTCTAACTCATGACGCAGCATTTTTCTGATTTCCACAGGAGTACCTCGGTTTTGTAATTGTTCCAATAACTTAAGCGTTCTTTCATTTATAACCCTAACTAATGGATCCCTACGAAGGTTTTTCATCTGTAGTAAAATTTTTAATAATATTAGTATGCCATTTTACTTTAAAAATCTGCACTATTGGACAGAGCAGGATCAGAAAAATAAAAAAATTTGTATTTAAAGAAATTATTTAAACAATTTCACTTATATTCAACCCTTTGTGGAAAATTAGTGTTGCTTAAGAAATGAGAAAGATATACATTGAAAAATTGAGAAAAATAAATATTCAATTTGTTATATTTGATTCTTTATTGTTTTCCGGTATCTGAATATATAAGTTAAGTTTACAGATGCTGTTTAAAATATTACAGAATTAAAAAAATAAGGTAAAAACAAAGACATTACAACTAAGAAACCAAATTGTTTATTGTTTACATTTTTATGTGGTAAATCATTATTCCCATCAGATTCTCGATTATTGCGTCTTTGTCGGTATTATCAGTCTCTAAAAATTATTTGGAGAAATTACTTTCGAAAAATAAAATTTGATGTATCCTATGGGCAGACACGAATTGAGAACCAAAATGAAAATATTAAGAAGGGTTTATTTTTGTACCTGAAAATATGACACGAATTGAGGACCAGGCTTCTGAGAAATAATTATAGTAAGTGCACCGAATTGCGGATTAGGGATTAAGGTTGTAATGATGATTCATTGCGTTAACGAGCATTTTATTACTTTACTTTCGAAATTCTAATATATATTTGAAGTGAGTGTTTTGTGTTTAGTTTATTTTGAGCAGTCTTGTAAAAATGAGTGAAATTAAAATGATCTTAAGTGAAAAGGGAAAGTCGTTACTTGTGTGGGATGATTATAAGTTTCGTGAAAAAAAGGTTCTTAAAAGTGGTGAAAAGTTTTGGACTTGTACTGTAAGTAAATGTAACGCAAAAGTATTTACGCTAGGTTCAGATAATATAATTTCTCGAAAAGAAACAGTGCACAATCATGAAAATGACATAAAGAAATTAAATAGACAAATTTTGAGTGTAGCAAGCAAACGGAAAGCTGTAGAAGATATCACAGAACGGCCATCGAAAATCATACACTCTGTTTTAAGGGAAAACAGTGATACAATGGACGCTTTGACAAGAAAAGACATTACATACATAAGAAATAATATGTATTACAAAAGACGTCAAGTCCAAGCACGTTTACCAAGCAATGTATCAGATGTTTTCGATATTTTACCAACATTAAATTTGACAACAATTAAAAATGAACCATTTCTCTTGGCCACTGATAATATTAACAATATTGTAGTATTTTCGTGCTATACTAATTTAAAATTTTTGTGTAGTAGTGACAAAGTGTATCTTGATGGAACATTTTGATATTGTACGAAACATTTTTTACAGTTGTTCACACTTCATATCGTAGAAAACGGCCATTATATACCAGTAGCTTTTGTTTATTACCGAATAAACTTCGTTTAACATACGAAAGACTTTTCGTTATTCTTAAAGAAAAGTGTTGTAATGCTAATTTAATATTTGTTCCAAAAATTATTGTAGCTGATTATGAACTAGCTATTCACAAAGCAATTTCTGCGCAATGGCCCACCACAAAGATCATTGGATGTAGGTTTCATCTTGGCCAAGCTTGGTACAGAAAAATACAGAGTTTGGGATTGGCTAAAGAATACCAAGATGAAAAAAGTGCAACTGGAAAATGGATGAGGTATCTTTTTGGATTGTCTTTTTTAAAACCCGAAGAAGTTGGAGAATGTTTTGCTTTGGATTTGGCTGAATTTCAGCCCGATCATATGCATAAAGCTGTGGTAAATTTAGCTGACTATTTAGTAAAGAATTATATTGAAGAAAATTCTTTATTTCCACCAACAATTTGGGCTGAAGCTGTTGTAACTACAGAAAATTCTACCAATGCATGCGAGTCCTTTCATTCTAGATTTAATTCAAATTTCTATTCAATGCACCCTTCATTGTATTTATTTGTAAATGTTTTGAACAATTTTCAAACAGATACTTATATTCGTATTAACAGCCTTAAGGAGTCTGTTAAATGTAACAACAAAATTGTTAGACGAAGATTAAATATGTTAACTTCAAAAATGTTAGAATATAAAAATGGTTCTATAAAACGAATAGATTTTGTAAAATTCGCATCAAATTATCATAAAGTGTATTAAATGTAAATAATATGTATATGTTTAAAAAATTAATTATAAATTGTAAATTGTGCAATAAATATCTATTTTTATCTGAATTCGTACTTTTCTTCAAATTTTGCAAATCCATCAGAAGACAAATAATAATATTATAAATGGGTATAGTGATAAGATACTTCAATTATTGAGAAGTTTGTTCCTCAATTCGTGTCATATTTCCAGGTACAAAAATCTCTCTCAGTAATCTAGTTAACGCAATGAACCCTCATTACCACCTTAATCCCTAATCCTTAGTACGGTCCGCAATTCGGTGCACTTATTTGGTCTGTGCAGGTAGTGGTCCTCAATTTGAGAACACCGTATCCTATAACTATAATTTTATATTATATAAATAAAAATATGTTTTAATTCAAATTATTCTTTAAAGTTTTAATATGAGCTAAATTTTTTATTAAAAATCAATATTAATCTAAACAAAATATTAGGGTTGCAAAGAACTCCGTAAATACGGCAACGCTGAATATCTCATTTTTCGAATTTACAACTAGTACCTATTTTTATAAATGAAATGTAGTTACCGTAACCAGCCCCAACGTTGCCAATCGGGTCTAACAGCTATTTTTGTGTTTCTGACAGTTTCTGTATGACTTATTGAAGCAGACATACCCGGAGTATGGAGGACTCCCTCTACTTTTTTTAAGCCACGCCCCTTTTACAAACTGCGCATACGCTGATATCTGTCAGCTGTCAATCCAGTGTTTCCAACTGTCAATCCAGTGTTGCCAACTGTCAGCGGTCAATATGGTGAATCAATTGTTATGTCAAACCAGTGCTGCCAACTGACAACAGTGTTTCCAACTGTCAGTAGTCGCCACGAGCTGACGGCACCTGTCAATCGGAGTAGAAACGATGTTTACGTAAAAGTAACATGATTCCAAAAGATGACGCTACCTGTCAAAAAACCTGTCAACAGGATAAAGGTTTGCGACTTGGCTAAGTCATCAGCTAAGCAAGATGGCGGCTATCGTAACATATGTCAAAAATTATTTTAACCTATGGCATCTGTCAACAGTGTTGTAAACCTAACCTACGCAGGATAGCTACGAAGTTGGCTAACCTAATGACACATGTCAAAAATCAATGCGGATTTTTACGTCGAGAAATCCTCAATGGGACTCGCTGACGCAAGAAATGATATATAATACGTGTGACTATAAATGGAATGTTAAGATCATGCGCAGTGACAGGTCAAAAGGGCCTAAAACTAACATCTTTGTTATTGTTGGTCCGATTGAAACGGGAAAAACGGCATTATATAGAGAACTCGAAAACGTTAAAAAGAAAAATCATGCGCAATGCCAAAAGGGCCTTAGCGTATATCTTTATTGGCATTGGTCCGATTCAATTTTTGTGAACTTTTGTGAGAAATATAAAGAATTATGGTACATGCATGTGTAGTGTTCAATAAGGTAGATCATTTAAATCGAAATGTATCCTTTCATCGGTGAGTATTTTTAGGTTAAGATATGTTTTCATTTGAACGAGTGGAGTAGGGCATCCGTCTAAAGACTTTAAGACTGTTTTGACTATACAATTTTTTGTACAAGATTTGATACAATTTCTTATAGAATTTAAATTGTATAGGATCACATATTAAATTGTTTGAAAAATGATTATCCAATCTAATTTTTCAGACAATTTACTGCAGGTTTGATAATATACAATTTAAATTGTACAAGAAATTGTATCAAAAACTTGTGTAGTCTAAAACGGTCTTAAAACAGTTTTTAAAGTGATATTCCTTTTATAAATTAGTAAATTATTTTTATACCAATAAATAATTATTGAATAGTGGCAAAGAAAATTTAACGTAAAATGTAGAATACTTTAAAAATGATTTACCTATTAGGCACCTATACATTTTAATATTCTATTTAGGTTTCCGCAAGATCCTGAGAAAAGTAAACTTTGGTTTTCTCTAGTAGGGATCCTTGAAAATCTGCCCCTTCGTAAAAACACAGAGTTGTGTTCAGAACACTTTTTGATATTTTGATAGATATTTTGGTACGTGCAAATGGTGCCAAATATATCAGAAGAGATGCAAACCCCATTCGGTGAGAGGGCTTTCTATTTTTAGATGACTTATCCAACATGTAAAAATACAAAATATTAATTTTTTGTTTACATCTAAACATTATATATTGTGGCGATTTACAAGAGTGGATATGATCTAATTCTAGCAAGAGTTGCTATTAACCGGTTGTTGGGCGCCATTGTTAGAATAACAAAATTAATTAAATTCAAATCACTTGTTTATAATTACCTTTAATTTAAATTGAATTATTAAAATATTTGTTTTATAAAACCATTCATCATCCACAATTACTAAATATCTCTCAGGGGTAGGTCAGACTCTGTGGTTGCAGAGATTTATTTGTTTCACGCCAGACGGCGCTGCGATACGAGCTCGTCCGATTTTACCAATATGGTCACTTGTTATTTATGCTTGTGTAAAGTTTAAACCAAAAGAAAAGCGAATATAAGTGCAAACAAAGAACATTTATTTATAAGGAAGAAACAAACGCAAACACAAGGAACAATTAAATATTAAAGTGTATAAAAAAATAATTTATGAGACATGGAAATTTGAGGTTATACCAGATAAGTACATTTTTATATTTTGTTTGTACCTGACAACAATGAAATATTTTATAAGATTCTTCCAAGAAATCATTAGGTTTCATTCACAAGGCTCGTAGTAATAGCTAGTTGATTCACTGTTAATATTTTGATTTTAAATTATTCATTTTGATTACTTTTAGCTGCGAAACGAAACCATATGATTCCTTTTCTATTTAAATTAAAATTCCGAATGACATATAAATTTCTTACTTG